GCTTGACATGTCGCGTGCCTCATCTTTTTTTTTTCTTGTGCGCACTCTCTGTCTCTCTCTCATATGCGTCTTCCAAATGGCCCTTTATCGCATCGACAGGAGGCAGAGCGCAAGTGGCTGCTCAAGCAGATTGTGCCTGCACAACTGGTCGAGGTCGGGTTGCTCATCAAGGACTGCATCGCGCGTCTGGACGCGGCCGAACCCCCGCCACTGACCTTGAGCGATGCGCCCAGCCTGGCCTCGCAACAAGCGGCCAAGGCCGGTGGCCCCGAAGTTCGCCGGGGACTCTCTCTCAGTAAGAAGTCGTTGCAAAGCTCTACCCAGTCCATCTGACCAACTGGAGACAAAATGTGGCCTTTGCCTTGCTCATCACGCTGAGTAGCTCTAGGAGACCGGCGCCGGCTGACGTCGCTGAGTAACCCACAACGCATGGAGCAAATTCAGACAAGCCATCTGATGAGCAAAGCGAACCGGTGCGTGAAGCACCAGTGTCACGCCATGTTGCGCCCTGCCGTGCCCTGCGCTGGCTCAGGGGCATCATCGCGACGCAGCATGAACTCGTGGCTTATTCCATCGTTTGTTATTTACATTTGACAGGGAGATGGCCCCACTTCATGGCAATGTCAAGGTCCTGGGCACCAAGATTGTTTCTGCAGTACGTGCATTCGTGTCCAAGCACGCGCGTTTGGGGGCCATGAGTGACCCCCCCCCCCTCGCCCCAGGACGGCCCGCCGCTTATTCTAACGCTTGCTATAGGACATTCAATATCAACCCATGGAACACAAGCATCGCCGTCATAGTGCACCTCGTACGTCGACGGCTTGCATCCCGTCGCTGACCTTGATAACGGCGTGCGCATCCATTTGAGAAGAAACAGGGCTCTCGGGCGAGCGCTCACTGCCTGCTGTTTGTGGCGTGTAGCTCCAATCACGACCAGCATTCGCCCCAAACATGCACAGCGAGTACCGCAAGCCTTCACCACCCTCATCTGGCTGCAAACGGCCCTCCAAGACATTGATGGTGTGCCTTTGATGCGTTGCTGAACCTTGTCAGCCACCCTGTCGCAAACTTATTTTGATTGGCACCGCATGCGCAGGGCAATATTTTCATGATTCAATTACCGTGCGTGACATGCTCCAGGTGGGGGATGCACATGCATGGTTCATTGCGCGTGTGGCTGTGCCCTTGTGAATGGCGCGCGAACCCTGACAGGATTGCTTTGCACAGATGCTGCGGCAACTGACTGAGCACGTCCAGCAAGCCAAGCGGTCACTACATGTGCCCAAGCCGCTGCCGTTGGATACCACTGTTGGTACCATCAAGCCCTTCGAGCCACCGCTTCCAGCTCAGCTCTGGTAGGTGCGCGCATCCTCGTTTAATACAGAGTGAGGTTGTCGTTGTCTGACCGATTTGCGGTACATTTAGCTTGGACTGGTTTGTCAACCACGGCCATTTGGAGCTGCGCATGTTGCAGTTGCAAGTCACCGAGCCCACCACATCGTCAGGCCACAAGCACCGGCGTACGCCTCCACCCCATACTCGCTTGTGCTGCTGCGCCTCTGCTTCCCGACGTCGTTCTCATGATCCCTGCGCATGATGGCTCGTTCTTGCTGTCCACGAGTAGCTTCATTACGAAAGCGCTTTTCTCGCAGCTCCCGCCATCACCGTGTACCTGAGGTGGAGGCTACAATGGAGAACGCCACCGGAGCCAAATTCATCTCCCATCAAGGCCGTGAATGTCAGGTAGGCTTCCATCATACAGATGGCGCGCGGTCGTGCAGTGGGGCAGCGATATGCTTAGAAACTGATTTACACTTGATCCATTGCAGGTTTTGTCCGACCACCGAGCAACGGTAGAGATTCCGGCCTGGACAGCGGTGCTTCAGGACATCCATACCATCCAAGCCAAATGCCAGAGCCTCATTGGTGCCCTCGATGCCGTGGCTTAAGCCAGCGTCTGTGGCGCCGCTCCTTGCCCCTAGTCATGTACCCAACACTCTTTGCTGCTTTCTATCTTGACCATTTGACGCCTCTTGTCGATGCCATTTCCCACACCATGACCTCCCATGCCATGGGCTTGATGATGAGATGATGGTCATGGTCCAGGGCGAGAACCATCAGCCGACCAACAGAAGCCACACACACACACACACACACACACACACACACACACACACACACACACACACACACACACCACAAAAGCCAAATACATGTAAAGCGCACAAACTGCGGTTTTGAGAAAGAAAAGTCAGACAAACGTGTGGCTTTGACGCCAAATGACGACAAACTCTCTCTCTCTCTCTCTCTCTCTCTCTCTCTCTCTCTCTCTCTCTCTCTCTCTCTCTCTCTCTCTCTCTCTCTCTCTCTCTCTCTCTCATTCTCCAGGATCGATCGCGGACGGACGGACGGGTGGGCGGGCGGTTCGGTGATGATTACTGAGATTGGCACAGGAAGAGAGAGAGAGAGATCAGACGGTGTGCGCAATTACTGGTGTGGTCTGTCGGTTCGTTTGCCTGAATCATGACGGGCTTCACCACTGCGAATGATGGCGCAGACGTGTGGGCGGCAAGCTCAACTGGCATCGTGGTGTTGGTGGGGGCGCTTTCGGCGCTGGTATCCGTCTTGATTGCCGTTGTGGTTCTGCAACGGCAGCGGCTTCAGCGCGCTGGTAGCAAGGAGCGTGATGCGCAATACTCGCCACAGATTGCCTGGGACAAAGGCACCACTTCAGCTCTGGCCGAGGCGCTTGGCACACACGTGCCGCCGGGATCAATCGCAGCACCCAGCCCCGGCCCCAGCATCACCCTCGTCGGGGCGGGTGTGGGAAATCCAGACCACCTCACGCTGGGAGCTTTGCGCGAGCTTCAAACCGCGGATTTGGTTGTAGCAGATCAATTGCTACCTCCGACCATCTTGGCATTGGCTGGAGGCCGACTGGTGGTGGCCAACAAAACAAAGGGGCGGGCGCATGAAGCCCAAGAGGAGATTTACGATGCCTGCCTGGCCGGCCTGCGCGCTGGTCAACGCGTCGTTCGCCTCAAGGGGGGTGATCCCTTTGTGTTTGGTCGTGGTGCCGAAGAGGTTTTGCGCTTCCGTCAACATGGCTACGAAGCTCGTGTGCTGCCCGGCATTTCCTCCTGCATTGCTGGACCGGGGCTGGCTGGCATTCCTCTTACCCTCCGCGGCGTGGCCGATTCTTTTGTCGTCACCACAGCTCACGGCAAGAACGACACTGGTATGTTATCATGACCTGCATTCGATATCCCTCCTTTTTTTTTTTTTTTTTGCTGCCCGTGAGCTGGACGTGTACGTGCGCGCACTTGTGGTTGCCCTCTGATTCACGACATGTACACACTTGTACTCTCTAGATCCTCGGTGGCCAGAGTTTCAGCCATACCGGACGTTTGTGTTTTTGATGGGCGTATCTCAGCTACCGCGCCTGCACAATATCCTCACGCAAACCCGCTACGGATTCCCCAGCCGTTTGCCCATGGCCATTGTGGAACGGGCCTCACACCCTAAGCAGCGCGTACTACGAACCACGCTCGATCAGGTCGCGGATCTGGCTGCTCGCCAGCATGTCACCTCCCCCGCCGTCCTCATTCTGGGCGAGGTCACGACCTGTCTTCAGTCGGCTCCAAACTAATATGCCCATCAGTTGTGTGTGCAGGCAAACGCAATTCCGCATGCACGTCTGTCCACAATAATGGCCCGTGTTTGTTCTCGTTAAAAAAATATTCTTAGGCTCAATGTAAACTCAGACCTAGGCTTGTGTTGGTGGTTTGACATGCTCGTGGCCCCCCGGCCTCGCATTGCTCTCCTCTCCCTTTCGTCTGCAAGGCTTGCCGTGTGGACTTTGTACAAGACAGACAATCGATGACGTCAAGTGCTGGCTGCCCCACCCAATCGATATATTATTATGAATCGGCAAAATAACTGAACCCTTGACCGCTCCGTGTGCTTGACGAAGTAGAGTACAGGACCTGAGAACAGGTTCGTAGTTAACTATCACCAGAATCATCTTCACACACGCCCGTTTGTTTTTGCCACGAATATCTCCTTGTTTACATCCCTTAACCCCCCACGTTCCCTTTCCATCCTTCCCATCCCCACTACCTGATATTCGTCTGCATCTTCTTTTCTTTTTTTCCTCGACGCCTAGCCCTTCCGACCCAGCGCCACTGCCGTACTTTAGCACAGAAAACCATTAAAAAATCACATGAAATTCCCCCCAAAAAATAAAAAAAAATTACAATGTCATGTAAAAAAATTAAAAAAAAAACTGCTTTTGACCAAAAACAAAAAATTTCGGTTTCAAACAGTTTTTTAATGCGCTTTTTGCTCTCTCTGTTCAGTGAGGCGTGAGTGAGGAGGATGCGGTGGCAGCGCTCGAAGCGAGCTTGACGAGCGTCAAGGGCAGAGTTGGTGGCGCTGAGTGGCGCTTGGTGGCTGGCTTGGATCAGGCGTTCTCTCTCTCTCTCTCTCTCTCTCTTTTTGATAAAGCAAAGGCAGATTGATCAATTGTGGAGGATGGCGTGTCAGCCGTTGCACTTGATATCCTGGAACGTGGCAGGTGCGTTTGCCTCGACTCATCACCGGGTGTGTCGGCCCACACGCTCATGCCTTTTTGGTACACAGGGTGGCAGCCCACGCTGTCGCTCATTCAGAGGTGGCACGGGGATCTTGAAACCTTCCTTCGACGGCATCAAGTTGACATCTTGTGCATTCAGGAAGTACGTGACACTCCGCTGCGCGCATTTACGTAGAGGGAGGGTGGAGCCCTGACTTCCTTGTCCTGACACGTGGATGGCAGGCCAAGACCCAACGCAAGAAACTGCAAACGTCTCCGCGAGAGTGTGGTGCCCTTGTTGACGGTTGGTCTGCGGATGTTCTGCAAAAGTCTTGTTTCATGCGCGTTCCCGACTTTAGCCTCCTTCCTTTGCTGCATAGGATATGAGGCGTTTTTCAGCTGCTGCGAGCTACCAGGACAACACCAGGGCCTTAATGGTGTAGCCACCTATGCAAGACAGGGCACGGTCACGCGTGCCGACCCCCGTCAGTTCCCGCCTGTCGACGCGTCCAAGGGATACCACCCCTCGCCCCTCCTCACCTGCAGGCGGCGTTCATTTTGCATAGGCCCCTTCTCCGACCCAGCTCTCAACATTGAGGGTCGTGCTCTAGTCACCTATCATGGCCCGGTGCGCTGCCTCTCCCAGCTCATCGTAAATTTAGCCTTCACCGCTCGTGTCTCATGTTTTGTGCCGGAACCACGCAGCTGGCACTCTTCAACGTGTACGTGCCCAATGACGGTGCCGGCTCCAGCCGTTTGCCATACAAGATGAAGTTCTTGACGGCGCTTCGGGAATGCATGGGCAAGGCCAAGGCCGAAGGTCAATAGGGCGCTTGCTCCACCCAATCCCTCAACATCCGTGTGCCTTTGAGGGATTCAAGTTCACTCACGCTCTTTGGCCCTGTGATGCAGGTTACTTTGTGGTTCTTGTGGGCGACCTCAACATTGCTCGCCGTGCAGAGGTGAGCTTTTTGCTCTACCCCCTTTTACTTCTTCCAAAATCCGAGCTCCCAGCTGCCAAAGGGTTGCACTGCGTTTATTGGCCGATGGGCTCGGTTGGCTGTTCCTTGAATGCACGGCATTGACAGGACGTGAGCTGGGATCGCCGCCTTCTTCAAGTTGAGCGTTTTCTCAACGCTCCATTGGGAGGGTGCATTGCAAATTGGCCCACGGACGCCGCTGGTACGCTCTTCATCGGCTTTCTCAACTGAGCTTGCGGGGACAGGATTTGACATGTCCACGGATGCCTGATAGGGCCATCGGAGTTGCGTAACTACATCCACGACACCACAGGTCTCAAGGTTACGGACTGCTCCCATTGCGGATGTCGTGGCTGCACTTGCACAGCGTGCCGAAAGAGCGCTCCTGAGGGCACGGCGCGCTCTCTGGTTTGCTGTCGCATCTGCCATGGTTCACTCGGCGCGGCAGCTCAGCTGGAAACCCAGCAGAGCCATTGGTACCGCGCCTGTCTTGAGGTCAGTTTGCTTCCGCACATGCAACCGAGTCCTTCCAAGCCGCGCTGCACAGCTGAGACATGCATGCATGCTGCACAGACGCTTTGGAACCTTCAGGCACGGCTGCAGCAAGCCTGGCCTACGCTGCACGCGGCCATCGAGGCACGATCGGTCGAGCCAATCGAGGTCTCTTTCAAGGGCACGGGTCGTCAAACCAAGTATCGTTTAATCTTGCGCAGCGTTGCTGGCAAGAAAGTGATCATAGGCTCGACCCATACCGACGAACAGCGAGCTAGGCACTCGGTGTCCTTGGAAGCACGCCACGTTACGGACCCTGACGACGCCACTCGCATCCTCCGCGTCCATGACGGTGGTGAACTCCACGTTGAGCAGTTGATTGACATTTGGGAAAAGGTATTGGGCATTGAGCTCGCCGAGATGGAGCGACGTGCGCTGGCTACAATAGCAAACCGAGTTACCAGCCCACCGTGTGGGCGGTGGATCGATGATTTGCTGTCTGTCCCCTCGTCAGTGCCCCAGAATCCACTCGCCATGCTTGATTCGTTCACAACGCTGCACCCGACTGCACAAGCACGCTTTACCTGCTGGGATCAGTACAAGAACCGTCGCTACGAGAATCGCGGGTCACGCATTGATTATGTGTTGCTGGATCAGGACTTGGCTGGTCTCTTGGTTGGCAGCATCGCACCACCGCCAGCGCCCCCCGGTTCAGGGGAGCCCAATGATCGACCCTCCCTCGTTACCACGGCTGCTGCCGACTGCGCCAATGCGCCACAACTTGTGGCCAATGGATGGTGCCGTAATCCCCACTGCGAGCGCTGTGCGCAGGCTGCCACCACATCCCAGTATCGGTGCGTCAAGCTTACATGCCTGCTGCACAATATACGACGCTATATGCCCCTCTCATCAGTTAAGGCCTCTGCATTTGTTCACTTTGGGCGTGCCGTTCAGTTGGAAGCCAGCGCCCTTCGAAGGCACGGGCATTGTCGAAGGGTCCAAAACGGTTCGTGTCTTGCGGATTTGTTCTTGCTCTTCAAAACCTCCGTCCTTTGCCAACACTTTGGCTTCCGACTGACTTCACACATGGCCGAATAGGATTACGAAATGCAGTTTCAGTTGCCACACTCAGGGATGGTGTACACACCGCCGTCTTACAGTGATCACATCGGCGTTTCAGCGCTGCTCAAGGTTGTGGTACAAACGACGCTCGAGCAGCAGGAGGCACGAACACGCGCCGCACAGCCGTTCAAGTCACAAACCCGCATCAGCTCCTTTTTCAGCAAGTCAGGAGAGGGTGTTGCAAGCGTGGCACCCTTGATCAAGCCCAAAATTTCAGCGGCTGCCAAGAGCCCGTCTAATTTGGAGTTGCCACCCAGTCAAGCCTCCTCACCTTCAACTGTTCCAGACAGCGAGCATCGACCGTCTCCAAAACGACGCAAGTCGGCTTCGAGCGGCGCCTCGCGGAAAGGACGAGCCAATAGCGTGAGTGGCTCGAGTCGTAGTAAGGGAAGTCTCAAGCCCGTGGCTACAAAGCACCGTATTTCGACGTTCTTTCAGTCCGCCAGCTCCACCAAAAGTTGAGAGCTCGACACGATGAGTTTGCAATGAGCGTTTCAGTAATGACAGTGATAATAATTGAAGATGCAAATGCAATTTTTTTGAGGCGTGGCAGCTTTGCTCTGTCGATGAGAGTCTCTTCACTGATACGACCAGCAACACGATCTCATTAGGATGGCTTGACCAATTGACTCAATCTTTCAGGCATCGCCTCAATGGGACAAAAACAATCGCAAAGCTACAGGTCATCGTCATCGTCGTCGCCCAAAGCCTTCAGGGCTAGCAGTGGCTTGGTAAGTTGCAAGCTGTTAAAAGCGGTCTCAATCTCAGATACAGTGTGCAGGACGGCAGCGTACTCGCCCAAAGCAGCTCCTGCATCAAATACGCCCTGCATGACGTTCTTGCACTCGTCAAGGCGATTTTTCATGAGCATGGCAGTCTTTTCGAGTTGCGCCGACGCTTGGCCAGCATCGAGCAGTTGCTTCATGTTTTGCACGGCTACAAGGCTCTCAAGCAACCGCCGCTCCAATGATCTCGTCCTTTTCCTGAGAATGACAACCCCTTCGGCTTGATTCAACTGTTGAAATTCAACAGTAGCCTTTCTGTGCTTCATGCGAAGATCATATAGCTGCCAGGCTATCCCTTGCAGTGCACCATTGTCTACATCGTCAGCCAACCGAGCGAACACGCGTTGTGATTCGGCTCGAATCCTAGCGTCGAAGTCTTGTGATGGATGCATCAAGGCCATGTTGAGGATGAAAGCGGTGCGGGGTACTTGCGCGGAATCTCGAGTCTGCTTCGAAAACTGCCACTCGTGGAGGAGCAAACCAAGTCAAGTTGGCAAGAGAGAGAGAGAGAGAGAGAGAGAGAGGGATAAGAATCAAAACATTTTCTTAAAGGCAGAGTTAGGTGGGAGTCAAAACACTTCTCCACACAGTCGATGAACGTCATGGTCGTGAATCATTTCCGAGTCCGAATAACTTATGAGCATTTGGCATGTTTGTTGCATCTGAAGTGGGTCTCGCGATGGGTTCGGAGACGAGCCTACGCGCAGAGAAATGCACAGACACACAATGCGCATTCTGATCCTTGTTTTGCATAGGGGTTGCTTGAGGATTTGGGGATGGGATTAGCTGATTTTGACGGGCCATTCAGCAAGACACAAGGATTGGACGATGGTGCTGAGTCGCACGTGTGCACGGCACTGTGCCCGATCTTGTGCCCGACACCAGCGGCTGTTTTGTACCAGAGCAGCCACCTTGTATGAATGGACAAGCGCCGAGCCAATGAACGATGGTGCGCGACATCGCCCGCCAGCACCACATCAACTCAAGCAGAGTCATCCTCCATGATGGCAAGCTACAAGCAGGACATGGTTGCTCATCCATCACACAAGTGTCTGCGATTTTTTTTTTGGCTTGCAACGCAAATGCTTTGAATTGCTCGAGCACAAGAAATCATCAACATTGTCGGACTCAAACTTGAAGAAACATTTGAAATTGTTAACAAGTGAATTCGCTAAAGGCACATTCTTTCAAGCAGATCTTGTATGAATGGACAAGCGCCGAGCCAATGAACGATGGTGCGCGACATCGCCCGCCAGCACCACATCAACTCAAGCAGAGTCATCCTCCATGATGGCAAGCTACAAGCAGGACATGGTTGCTCATCCATCACAAGTGTCTGCGATTTTTTTTTTGGCTTGCAACGCAAATGCTTTGAATTGCTCGAGCACAAGAAATCATCAACATTGTCGGACTCAAACTTGAAGAAACATTTGAAATTGTTAACAAGTGAATTCGCTAAAGGCACATTCTTTCAAGCAGATCTTGTCTGCTTTGATGCTTTTAGCGTTTACATGTTAGTGTGAGGTTTGAGGTTGGTGTTGGATGTTCTTCCACGAGTGGCATTTTCCAATAGCGACTGGCCGAGATACAGACTGATTGCCTTTTCCTTCTTGGACGTTCAAAATGGCTGTTGTGGCTGCTCCACAAGATTTTCAAGCTAAAGTACAAGTGCTTTTACGGCGGGTGTACGGCCAGTTAGCCAACGGGGCCGACGACAATCGCATGCGACGCTTCGCGCAGCAGCTTGATGACATTCGAACGCGACACAAGGAGGCTACCGATAGATTTGATCGATTGGCTCAGACTGACGCTGTTGCTACTTTGAGGACACGGACAGCATCATTGGAAGAACGCTTCCGTGAGGGCATCGGAGCCGCGCAAGAAATGAGGACCTTGCTCATTACTGGACAAGCTTCGGCGCAGCTTAGTGACGCCGGGTCGCGGATGGGATCTCGTATCCATGAGTGCAAACAGGCTATCGAACAATATCTTGCCGTAGCAACGGCTTTGAGCGATTATGCTACGGCGCTGCGCGACGTGACTGACATTGAGGCTGAATTGAGTGGTCTACAAGCCATGTCCCTGCCTGCTAGCGGTGCGGTTGCACGGTCAGCTTTGAAGGGCCACTTCGAGGACGAGCTGTAGGTTTGCAATTGTATGTGCCCCGTTTGAATTTATTGTTTGACCGATGCAATTGAAAGCACAGTGACACCGATGATGATGCTTGTGGTTTAAACTGCTGGATTTCGCTGGCGGATTCAGGTATTTGGGGGTGGTACCGAATGTGGGGGGGATTGTTTTGCATTGGCCACCACAGGGGGATTTGCACACATGCATTGCTTTGTAGTTTGTTGCAAGGCACTAGTTGGCAGCTCCGCTGCCGTCCTCATTCAGGGCGGCCGCGTGAATATCAACATGGTCCTCCATGAACGAGGAGATAAAGTAGTAGCCGTGATCGTAGCCTTCGTGCTTACGCAACACAACCTATGCGTGTGGCGGGTGGGGTGGGGTGGGGTGCAGGGCGGGGTGCAGTGTATGATAAAGGACGTGAAGGAAAAGGGTGCCGACTTCACTGCACTGCGCTTTGGAGGCAGTGTGCGTGCGTGGCAAACGGCTGGAATGGAGTGCGCACCGAAATGTTGGGGTTGGCTGCCGCGGCGCGCACAAAGGCTTCGGGCTCGAGGTCTTTATCCTTGTAAAAGCCATCATTGGTTCCCTGTCATGTGGAGATTGGCGCATGAGACGCAATGTCAAGGCCGTGTATACAGCATGAGGGCTCTGAAGACCGAGGCCATTGCGTGGGGACCAGAGGCGTCGAGGCGAGCTCTAGCTAGCTAATGCACAGACACCGCCCAAAGCCATCAGACCTGATCGATCAAAATGTCCATCATGGGGCCGTTGTAGCTGCCGACCAGACAGGTGGCATCGTAAGCCTCCATGGCTGCCTTGTCGTCACCGAGATAGCCCTTGAGGGCCTTTGAAGCCACGGGCGTCACACTGCAAGGTTACATGAGGAGTCGGAGTGAGTCAAGGTGCCTGTGCCCCCGGTAAGAAAGCACAGGGGCATGCGTGGTCAGCATACCTGGGGTTGCAGATGGGGGCAAAGGCCGTCACACTGGCATACTGGCCAGGACATTTCAGGGCACAAATGAGGGCTCCATGGCCACCCATGCTGTGGCCAAAAATGGACTTGGTCGCGGTCACGGGCAGCTCCTATGAGATGTCAACGTTGACATGAGTGTTCAGTTGTTGGCGCGCACAAAAAGAATGTTGGGTCGACGGACCTTTTCTACCAGGGCAGGTAGCTCCTTGGTGACATAGTCGAACATGTGGTAGTGCTTGGACCAAGGTTCCTGGGTGGCATTCAGGTAGTAGCCTACAAGCGCCGTTGCGTATGCGTGAGCGTGTGGTGGCGCGAAAGTTGGCCCGAGCAAGACATCGACTCCCGAGCAAGACATTGACTCTCTGCGCGACATACCGGCACCGGTGCCGAACTGCCAAGTATCGTCTTCCCCCTCAAGATTGACGCCGCGTGGTGAGGTATCTATCAGGAAACGGCAATGAGGTGCGACGCAAGGTGCCAAGCGCCAGCGAAAGCGGGTGTTGATCTACCGGGGCACACGAGAGCAATGTTGTGCTTGGCACAGATGCGCTGTGCGCCGGCCTGATTAAGAGAGGGATGGGGGATCCATTGATGAGTGAGCCCTTCTGGACGACGAGGGCCATCCAGAGACAACGTTGCAGAGGCAGGGATGAGCGCCAAGCTTGGGGCGGGGCGGGGTTTTGCGGAGCAGACCTTGGTGATGACATTCTGCTCGGTACAGGTCAGGCCCGACAGGTAATACAGAACTGGGACCTTGCGCGACTCGGCCTATTGTAGCAACTGAGAAGATGAGGCAACGTGCGTGTGTGCACGTGCGTGTGTGGCAAAGTAAGATGTTCTTGGCTCGGGTGCCGATGGCGCGCTGAGCAGCGGAACACGCACAGCAGGGGGAAGGTACACGGCAAAGCGCATGTTGCACTTGAGGGTTTCACTGTCATGGCTGTAGACCTGTGAGGTACCACCACGCAGCATGAGAGATGAGCTCACCCACCCAAAAGGCTACGGCCAGAGCAAGTGGTGGCGAGTGGTCTCACGAGCTGGCGACCGTCAAAGCACTTGCTGCACGATTCCTCCTTGAGAGCCATTTTCAGCGTTGGAAGCACGATAATCTATCCAGATCAATCCCGACGCCAAGCGCACACAGTCCTAACCATGAGAACATGCATTTGAATTGCATTCACCATGATATCGTTATGATACCGCCGGCTCGTCACTCCCGCTGCCTCAGCTGCCCCGACCCCGGAACGCCGCCATATCGGCTCCAAACTCCACTGACCAGAGAGAGAGAGAGAGAGAGAGAGAAAATAAGACGAGAAGGACGTGTGCCTGTGTGGTGATTTTGGCTTGATATGATGTGGAAGCGTGCGTGAGACGTGTGACACGGTCAGAGGGAGGGAACGCAGCTGCTTCACACGTATTTGTCAGACAATTTACTGTCGCATGCGCGTTTGGGTCGTAACAGTGTGTGAAAGAATGGTGTGGTCATGCGCTCTCTCTCTACCGCATGTGCAGCGGCTTGGTCTTCTCTCTGCAATGTTATGTAAAACGCTTTAAAACCCAACCGCTTGTGCAGCACGAACCTCACTCATCTCTGACATTTCTTCGAAATCTCTTCATCTCTCTAATTTCCGTGTTTCATTTTCTTCTTGCGTCTTCTCTCTCTCTCTCTCTCTCTCATATATATCAAAATGGCATCGACGGCTGGTCAAGTTATCAAGGTAAAGGCACTGGACCAAACGGCAGCGCCATGCATTTGATACCACGCTTGTTGATGCCTTTTCTTCGCACGGCCACTTGCTTTGTGTGTCCATGTGCGCGTGTTGGCTGGCTCTGTTTTGTTGGGCCTTTTTTTTTTGTCTTGTTTCGCGCACGCACGCATGCATGCGCACCACTGAACATTGGCTTGGCCGCTGCCCCCTCTCCCTTCTCCGCTCCCTCTCCGCAACACGTGGACTGGACACTGGCTTCTCCTTGTCCTCCCTGCCCGCCCCCCTCACCCACCTTCTCTCTGCGTAGTGCAAGGCTGCTGTGGCCTGGGAGCCCAAGAAGCCAGTCTCCATCGAGGAGATTGAGGTACGCACGAAACCATGGTGGTCGTGTTCTTGGCCGCTGCCACTGTTGTCATCCTTGGCCTGGCATATCACGGCCTGTGGCCTAGTCTGCCACAGTCGGCTGGCGAGCCTGTGTTTAGTTTATGAGCCGCCACGCTTGTGCTACATGGCCCATCTGGCTCATCGGCATCTCGCCTTCCACCGTCTGCCCTGCCGCTGCCCTTATCCTCCCGCGCTGTTTGGCTTGTTGGCTTCTTTTGTCAGGTTGCTCCTCCCAAGGCTGGTGAAGTCCGCCTGAAGGTCATCTCCAAGTAGGTCCTCTTGGATCCAAACCTTTTTCTTGTTTTTTTATTTTTATTTTTTTGCTGTGCCGGGACCGGTTTGACTCCTTTGCACTCACATGCCTTGGTGTTTGACAGTGCACTTTGCCATACCGATATTTACACGTTGGACGGCCATGACCGCGAGGGTACGTCAGACATGGTCCTTCGCTCCTCCCTCGCTGTCCTCCCTTGACTGATAAAACCGCTTTCGCTAATCATCAACGCAAAACTTTGGACCTAATTTAGGCAAGTTTCCCTGCATCCTTGGTCACGAGGCGGCCTGTGTCGTCGAGTCGGTGGGCGAGGGCGTCACCTCTGTCAAGCCCGGTTAGTTTGCTCGTCATCTCACTCAGCCCTACTGGGGCAAAGCTCTGCCTACCTTTGCTGAAACATATCCGCTCATGCCCCTCACTCGAAATCTGATTATTCCAGGCGACAAGGTCATTCCGTGCTACACCCCCGAGTGCGGCGACTGCCTCTTCTGCAACTCCAAGAAGACCAACCTTTGCCCCAAGATCCGCTCCACCCAAGGCCAGGGCGTGATGCCCGATGGCACCACCCGTTTCTCCAAGGATGGCAAGGAGATTTTCCACTTTATGGGCACCTCCACCTTCTCGTGCGTTGTCAACTCGTCGATGCTCTCCTCTTGTCACTCCTCAGGACATGTGCCTCCCCTTCACTTCCCCTGCTTGCCATGTGTGTTTTCCAAAGGGAGTACACGGTGGTGGCTGAGATCTCGTGCGCCAAGATTGCCGATGACGCACCCATGGACCTCGTCTGCATGCTGGGCTGTGGTATCGCTACTGGCTTTGGTGCCGTCTTCAACACCACCAAGCTTGAGGCTGGTACCAGCGCCGCCGTCTGGGGCCTTGGCGCCGTTGGCTTGGCCGTGATTCAGGCCGCCAAGAAGGCTGGCGTAAGTCTTGTGTCCTGGGATCTGCCTCACACCATCAAGTGGTGTCTCTGCTAGCAATAAAGCCGTGCTCGAATTCTCATCTCAATCTCCTCGGTCTGCACGGTTCCTGCCCTCAGGCCTCGCGCATCTTTGCCATCGATGTGAATGAGGAGAAGTTTGAAATCGCCAAGACGCTCGGTGCCACCGACTGTGTCAACCCCAAGAAGCTGGACAAGCCCGTGCAACAGTACCTGGTTGGCGAGACTCAGTGGGGTATCGATTACACTTACGATGCCACGGGCAACGTGGAGTGCATGCGCGCTGCCCTTGAGGTGCGCCCATCGCTTACCATATTCCTCTACAAGCTTCCGGCCTCATTGGTTTTACCTGGCGGCACAATCTGACATGCTACTTTGTTCTTCTCAAATGCAGAGTGCGCACCGCGGTTGGGGTGTTTCCTGCGTTATTGGCGTGGCCCCTGCTGGTCACGAAATCTCCACTCGTCCCTTCCAGGTCAGTCTTGCTCTGCCCCACGTTCTTTGTTGTCTGTCGTGGCCGGTTTGTTCAAGCGTCTGCCTAGACTCGAACATTTTGGTCGACCGACCCTGTGAGCGCTCTCACGACCCCTGCTCATGTTCCCGTTTCAGTTGGTGACCGGTCGTCACTGGACTGGCACGGCCTTTGGTGGCTACAAGTCGCGTAGCCAGGTTCCAGAGCTGGTCAAGTCCTCCATGAGCGGCGAGCTGCCCATTGCGCACTATGTCACTCACCGCTTCCAGGTGAGCCATCGTGGGCCTTGTTTCCAAACGCTCAGTTTGGCTCTCCGCTCCCTACTTACGCCTGTGCTGTCATCACTCATTTGCAGGGTGTGGAGAAGATGAATGAGGTCATTGATCTGCTGCACACGGGCAAGTGCCTCCGTGCCGTCGTCATGTATTAGAATTCCCGTCTGGGCAAAGCTTATGTGGAGTTGTGGTACTTGTGTCGTACGGGACTTTGGGATCCTTTGTGCTCGGTCAAAAACACACAATCTGGTGGACTGGCCGTGTTACGCGAGGTGGCAGGGGTTCACCATCAATTGACCAGTGACTTTCCACACGAAAGTGATGTGTCGGCGAGAGGCAGCCCCTGAATATGGTGCTTCTGAAGAAAGCATGGGCGTCTTGCTGCCGTGTCGTGGGACGAGTTGGCACCCAAACAAGATGCACACAAACATGCACACAGCAAGTGGAGAAGAGATCAATGGCATTACGTATCTCAAGACAATAAGGCACACTGGTGCTTGGGTGATGAGCGTGTGGATTTATTGGTCTGCCACCAGCAGTGTGCCGGGCAAGATGTAGTCGCACGCCGCAAGCTCAGTATGCGCCTTCAAGAGTTCGTCCAGACCTGGGCGGTCGCTGTCCTGAATAAACTGCAGCGGCTTGGCCTCCTTGCCAGTCTAGAGTATTCAAATAACGGCCCATAAGTATTCGCGGTCCCGATCTTGGAGGAGGCGAAGGGCAGACAAGAGCATACCGTAGCACCAGAAGAGGCGAAATCGTTGCGGCTCGAGCTTGTGGCCTTGCCATCACCATGGGCATCCTTGCCAAAGACGTGCGCGAGTTCCCCGGCTTGGAGTTGAAAGTCTGAATCTGGGTACAGAGCAAGCATCATTGCTTGGATCATGGCTTCTTTGTGGGCCAGTAGTTCTTCATAGCGCAGGGTGGCATGCCAAAAGCCACGTTGGGCCAGCTTCCAGGCCTCGTCCATGGAGGAGAGCCACATCATAAACTGAAAGCCCACGATACCAAGGGCATGAATCGTTGACTTGTTGAAGCGTTCCTCCTCCAGGAGTGGGGCCACCTGGCCAAGGAAAGACGAAAAGGCAGCCAAAGAGAATAAGACAGCGCGCGAGGCACGCGTTTTGGTTTTTGAGAATACAGGTGAAGAGAAGCAAAGGCTGGTAGGACTGACCGAGCGCAGGAAAGGAGCCATCCAGGTGAGCTGCACGAGATAGGCATCAAGGCCCCAAGTGCGCATAAACTTGACCACGGCGTTGTTGCTAAAGGCCATCAGGAAGGAATCGAGGGTGGCGAGCGCCTCTCGATACAAGAACACTTGCTGCAGCCGAGTCAAGGCAGGGCCGGGGAGGTGTGGCATCAAAATGGGGTGAGAATACCGAGCAGGCAAAATGTGTGCCGAGGTGTTTGGTTCACACTTAAAAAAAAAAAAAGTATGACATGCTTCAAGACAGTGCGTCGGGTTCGCACCTTGGCGGCCGGAGAGCCTTGGGCGAGCAGGTCGGCAATGAGCACGACAAAGGCACGGAACTTGATGGCAAGGAAATCGCTGCCGCCGTCGTGTTGGTCGTGACGCAGGTAATGGAAGGCCAGATGTGTTGTCACGGCGGCGCTCCATGCTTTGGTTTCCGAGGAGGAAATTTCGCCGTCCCGCCATGCAAAGGTGAGTTGGCTGTAGGCGTCGGGTTCTGAGAGGGAGCGGACGCCGTTGCTGTGATCCATGCACTTGCTGAGCAGAGTTGAACCACAGCGGCCCGTGGAGTGCAGTAGAATGACGCGGTCCATGCGATCCTGCAGGCTGGTGCCCACCACCTTTTGAACTGCGGCAGCAAATTGGTCGGCACCAATGACGAACACACGCTGGGCGTTGCGGCGCTGTTGCTGGTAAAAAAAGGCAGCGTTGTCGTTATCGACCTTGGCCTCCACGAGGACAATGGCGTGGGCCACACGATCGTAGGTGTAGACGTGAACTTTTTCATCCTGCAAAGGCCGCATTCGCATGAGCGTGGTTTGCGGCCAATCCCTCCAAGAGAGAGGGGTCCGGGGAAAAACAAAAAGCTTACGCGCAGGAGCGGCAGGATATCGAGCGTCTTGCGCTCTGAAAATGGGGCAAAGTCACTCAGCTCGGCAGTGCTTTCCTCCTCTGCAATGCGCCGAAAACGCGAATCAGGCCACCAGCAAATGTGTTTGAAGGGGGAAGCGAGCGCAAGGGCGAGCAAGACAAGAGTCGGGCGTCGAGCTGCTTCCACGTACGGACAGGTCCCTTGGAGGTGCCACCGGTGCCCTCGAAAATCAGCTCCAAGCACTCGTGCGGACCCAGCTGAGCCAGCTCCTCAATGGAGACCAGGGGCTCGGAATCGGCTGGTTTGGCCATCCATTTGTAGATGATCAAACCGATCACCACGGCGACCGCAGCTTCGAGAATTGCCATCGTTGCGGGCGTCAAAGAAATGCTCGAGAAAGATATCACCTCGCCACGCTCTCCACGCGATCCAGTTGCCCTGATGTGCACCCTGAGCGTCCAAAAGTCAAGATATCAAAGCCAGTGAGCACGTGGCGAGCCGAGTGCAACACCCGGCCGCAAAAGCCCAACTCCAACACGTGCATTCGTGCAAACAGCGTCCCCAACGCGCTCCAAGACCCTTCAACACCAAGCAGCGAACCAAACCACCAGCATCAAGGCAGAGCATCAGCTACCCCTCAGACCCAGCACAGCCACCAGACGGCAATCTCCTTTCTTGTCCAGCTAAACACCCGCCCCCTCCTGCCCCCCACTCGCTGCCGTTTCTCCACCCCCCCCCCCCCCCC